GTAGTGTCAGCACCCCACCCGGTAGTGTCAGCACCCCACCCGGTAGTGTCAGCACCCCACCCGGTAGTGTCAAAACTGACAACATCAATACCTGCAATAACTGCATCCCACCAAGCTCCCCACTCCGTTTTTACGTTGTCGGAGATTTCCCACGAAGAAGCATCTCGCTCAGCCATGCAGTACGCAGAGGCCCTTCACGAACGGACTTCACAAGAGGTGGAGAAGATGCTGTGTGCGTCCTACGCGGCTCTGGATCTGCGGAAACGGACCGGAGTCAAGGTCGAGGATGACGAATGTCCTGGGGGAAAGAGAGCAAAATTTCCAGTCGTAACTCTAGGGACTGGTAACTCTGTTCCTTCGCCATTGTCTCCGAGCTACCTCTAGGGGTCAAAGTGGGACCTGCCTCTTGCTCAATAAATGCGACCAGCTTGGCTTTCTCAATTTCCAACAGCCAAGAAGATTTCTTGGCTGTTGAAAGCCAAGAAAAATGGTACCGCCTAATTCTAGCATTAGAGAACAACGCCGAACACGAGTGGCGGTCAATTGATGATCTTTCTATCGAGATGTCATGGTTTCTTCAGAACCTGTGGGGGACCGACGGTTTGGGAAAATGGCCCGATTTGCTAGGGAGATACTTCCAGTCAAGGTTTGCGCCTCCACGCCGGATGGGTGTTTTTCGGCGGGGTTTCTCGGAGCCATTGCTCGAAGAAATGGTGTGGATTGTGGGAGGTTGTGTTCGAGAATTGGATTTAATTTCTAAAGTCCCCAAGAGGCTGTGGATGTGGACACTGGAGGGGCGATGTTTTCGAGAGCTTGGCTAGGCTCGAGCAACTTGTTATCAGGTGTTGATTGACTCGAGCAACCTGTTGGTTGGTTAGTTCTCTCCTGTGTTGATCCTGTTGAAGAACAAGGCACCTCACTCATGGTAGCTCCCGACTCACGGTAGCTGCCGATGTCGGCGAAGGAGGAAAGTTCGTTGAGATACACCAAGCTAAATTTTAGTCGTAACTCGGAACCGAATTGGTTATGTATTGTACCGCCTGTGAGCCTAATGACTTGGGCTGACGAATGGTGTGTGGACTGACAAATGTGTGTGTGGGCTGACAAATGTGTGTGGGCTGGCAAATGGGTGTAGAGGGGGGGGGGGTTATGGCTGGCATAACTAAAGAGAGAGAAGGACGGGTCGGTTGTGAACTTGGGCGAACTTGTTTTGTGCTTAATCGTGGCTGTGAAGTGCCAGGATGCTTTGTACCGGTCCTTTGGGCTGCATGATGGTAGTAATAAAATGACCCGTGACATATAGTCATTTTATTACCGTTATGAAGGCCAACAAGAGTGGATGTCTGGAGCTCTCGCTGTCGGTTCATGTTTTGCTGAGTGGTTTCGGGAATGAGGTGGGTGCTGCCTCTTGCGACCTCGTGTCTGGCTCGGTTTCCCCACGGACTTCTAGACGTCCCGGTGTGAACCTGGGTCCCGATGTCACGTTGGTTGTTGACGGGGAATCAAATGCTATCCCGTATGGCGACCTGAAAAGAGTTCAGGGAGTTGTTGCTGATATGATACGAGACTATTTCGACCAAGACGTTAAGGGTTCTGCACCGGAGATAAAGACTGTCGGCCAGAGCAGCTTGGACCGCTGCATGCGTACCCTCGAACAGAGATTGGTGACCGTAGGATCCAATCCAGGCATGACTTTTGGTACTTCCGGAAAGCGTCCATGTTGTTCATGGCAATGGGCCGGAGTAGCCGGAGAGTTGTACGAGCGACTGGATCGTGACAGGATGGTGGCGTTACTGAAACAGTGTGCACTCCTTGTGAGTCGGCCAACGGGAATGACCGACCAGTGGTATTTGGCGAAGATCCTCCAAAGGTGTTTGGACAGTAGACGCATTAAAAGACTGATGAAGAACGTAGGAGTGGAATGCGATGAGGGTTTTGAATGTACTATGCTCCTTCCCGACATGATTATGGCGGACCATTTCGTCCGTTTCCCGGCAACCAACGAAGCGGGCCGTCGTGTGATCTTCTCAATTTCTCACGTTGCTTACTGGTTGCTAAGAACGAAAGGTAAAGTGGGTCGATTCCGGAAAGTTCTAGGATCGGGGACAGCTGGCGAGTACCACTGGGGACGTATCGACGATTTCTCTATTAAGCTAACGCGGTTTCTTTGGGACCTGTGGGGAGCCGAGCGCTTTGGGAGAATTAGTCAACTTGCTAAACAACTGCTTCCTGTCGAGGTTGGTGCCTCCATGCCTGAGACGTGCTTCTTTTGGTGTTTTGTAGGAGCTATAGCTCGAACAAATACACCAGAGTACCAAACATTTTGTTCGCAAATTGGATTTGTCCCAGAGGGTAAGAATCGTGTGTGGGTATTGGAGGACCAACACAAGGACTTTGTCGAGCGAATAACCAGACTCGAGAAAGAGGCCGGGGGTCCCCCGGAGGCTATTACAACTGAAGAACTCCAAGCTCCGCAAGGGGTGGATGCCAATGTGGAAGAAGCTCAGAAATATGTTGCTGAAATGATACAGGATTTTTGCAAGGTGGAGGGACCGAGTACAGCGCCATTGAGCACACTTGCAGAACCCTCCCTCTCCCAAATAATGACTATCGTAGAGAATATTCTCTCTCATGGGCAGAACATAACGACGCCGTCACATCACGGCACATGGCGGTGGGCTAGGGTGGCAGGAGCATTATACAACAGATTGGATCGCAGTAGAATCCTCGAATTGCTTGATAGCTGCCAAACACATTTCGGTGGTCGAGAGGAAATGACGGACCAGTGGTACTTGACGAAACTTCTTCAGGCGTTCGCAGGACGTCGAAGAGCTGCTTCGAGTTCTCTTGTAGACCGCATAATGAACCCAGACGAGAGGACATTTGCTGGCATGATCTTGCCTGACATTGTTATGGCCCGTCACTTCGTAGGCTTGCCTGCAACAACTACAGAATCCGACAGGCTGACCATTTGGACAGTAATTCATGTCGTCTCCTGGATGATAAAGGCACGCTCCAATAAGATTTCTGGCAAACAAACACGGTACATGAATGCTGGAATCGACGATAACTCCATCGAACTAGCAGCGGTTCTATTCAATCTGTGGGGCCCTGAACGCTTACAACAAGTCAATCGACTTGTTGAAAAACTGCTTCTTTGGAAGCTTCCCAAAAACATGTCTGGTCCATGTTTTTTGGCCTGTGTTCTTCAAGCAATACGTGGGAGCGGCAGCAAAGTTGTTGGGCACTTGCGCCATCATCTTGGTCTTGACTCCGGTATGCAATCCGACACGAAAAGCCGAAAACGGAAAGTACAAGACGAAGGCGATGCGTTTTTCGGACGGCTACCGGACACCAATCGCCCACATCCCACCCGGACCTCTCCCTGTTCAACAAAAACCCCTGCAGGCACACCTACCCGTCAACTAAACCCCTCTACCCACCAAACATGTCCTAGTACCCCTCGGCTTCCCGTCACAAACTCAGATTCCCACCCACGCAACGAACTAGTCCCACAGTTGGAACCACAACCCAAGACAACAATCGATCCCATCTCTTGGATACCATCAACACCACTAGTGACGCCTTTTATGGCCAACCGCTCCGTCTTTACGTTGTCAGAGATTTCGCACGAAGCAGCGTCTCGCTCAGCCATGCATTATGCAGCGGCTCTTCGCGATTGGTGCTCACAAGAGGTGGAGAAGACGCTCTCTGCCTCATACGCCGATCTAGGTTTGCGGAAACGACACGGAGTCGAGGACGCTGAGTGTCCTGGGGGGAAGAGGGGTAGGGGGGGCTTGTGATCGCCAAATGCATACTCCCAAAAAGCTGGAGAACAATCACCTTTTTGGTTCGAGAAAGTGCCAATACCCATTCTCTTGCGGGCATCGTTAACCATCCAACGTAGCCGTCTGTGTGAGTTTTGTAACTGGAGTCAGCTGAAGGTCGGCGGTTCGAAGTCGGCTGTTGTTTTTGGAATACGACAAGAACAGGCCGTTTTACGTGCATTGCAGAAGTGATGCACCAAGCGGGGGGGGCGGAAGATATATCTTGGTAGAGCATTAAACCTAGCACCAAAAGACAACGAACGAACACTAAAAGACAACTGCGGACAAAATAGAACGACTACCGAAAACTAATCCAACGAACACCACTTTAATAATGCAAACCGACCAAGCAGAATACCGACTGTGGCAGAGAAGACATTTATACCAAAATAGACCTATACAGAATATCGAATGTGGGCCAACGAGCTGACGGGCACCGTGGATGGCCTTGATTCTGTCAATTAGGTCTTGAAGTGAAAGATGCTTAAAGCTGACCGGATTTGTAGCTCGACGTCTTTGTCGACCTTGCGTAGAAGACAGTAGTCGAGGCTCCCTCAGGCATGTAGCTGAGTAGTTCTACGACTCAGAATCTGTCAAAGGCTATTGTCGGTTTCTCATGGGCCAATTTTATTTACTATGAAGACTACTAAGAGCCGAGGTGTCGGGCTCCCGTTTCCGGTCCATGTGTTCCTGACTGGTTTCGTGGGGCCCTCTTGTGACTCCCCGTCGCTTTCCTGTGGCGTCCCCGAACGGGGTAGGGGACCGGTGGGTATTGCTGACAAATCCTTCCGTGACAGCACAACCGTTGCCGATGGCGGCCTGCTGAGAATTCAAGAAGTTGTTGATGACATTGTACGAGATTATTTCGACCAACGGATTGAAGCGCAGGAAAAGACTCCGAGCAGTGTAGACGCCCTTCAAAGCGCGAAGATTATAGGTCGCCTTGAAGGGCGCATTCTGCGTCCAGCGAGACTTGCATCGAGAATGGCCTTCGGTGAATCTGAAACGCGTCGGTGCACGGCGTGGCGCTGGGCCTCAGCGGCTGGAGAGCTGTGCGACCGACTGGACCGCAGAATAATGCAGGGACTGCTCAAGAAGTGCACACGCTTTGTGAGTCGGCCCACAGGAATGACCGACCAGTGGTATTTGGCGAAGATCCTCCAAAGAGGTGTGCGTCCGGACAGTATCGAGACCTTGATGAAGCGTGTCGGAGTTAAACTCGACCAAAGTTATAAGTGTGGCCTGCTCCTTCACGATATGGTGATGCAACGCCACTTCGTTAGGTTCCCGACAACGACTGAAGCAGACCGTAAGGTCATATTTTCTGTTTCCCGAATTGCTCACTGGTTATTAAAGACGAAGAATAAGGAAGGGCGGTTTTATGGCATTATAGGAACGTCACAAGAGGGCAAGAAGCAGTGGCTACGCACCGACAATACCTCTATTAAGATGGCACAATATCTTCGCCACATGTGGGGTTTGAAGCGATTTCTGAAAATGGCCGAACTTGTTAAGGAGCTGCTTCCAGTTGAGGGTGCTACTTCCCTGACAAACACGTGCTTCTTCGAGCGCTTTCTCGGAGCCGTCGCCAGGAGTTGTGCTGCCGAGTTCAGAGCGTTATGTTCGTTGATAGGATTTGCAACGGTAGATGGGAGGACTCTGGCAGATCAAGGTCTAGCCGGGCCCGAAATGCATACCACGAATCCCTTGTCCACGAATCCCTTGGGGGTGTCCGCAGTTAAAGAGCGCCGTGCCCGACACGTGGCAGATACCCATCAGATGTGCCGACCTGAGGTAGCTGCTAATCCGATAGGTGGAGCACAGCCGTGTTCGAAGACGCAGCGACATTCGAAGACGCTTCTGGTGGCGCCTGCGAGGCTCAGCCATTCCGTCTTAGCACTAGGGGGGTTAACTACAGTCTCTCTGGACCAGCAGGCGGGACCGTCGTTCCGTGGCGTCAGCAACAGGACGGTTAGTAACGTTCCGTCGGTTAGTGACATTCCATCAGGGGCTACAGTTGGAGAGCCTGTGGATGCCCGTGTGGAAGAAGTTCAAAATTTTATTGCTGACTTGATACAAGGGTTCAGAAACAAAGTCGGTGAGTCGTCACTAGGAAAGAAGACCGAAGGTTATACAAGAGCACTTGAGAGTCTTTTGCGCATCCTTGAACGGACAGCTTCCAAGGGGAAGATGCTTGCCACGCGTTTGAGTTCCAAAACTGGATGGCGGAGAGCTAAACTTGCGGGAGACCTATATGAACAGGTAGATCACAAAAGACTAATGGCGCTCTTTGAAATGTGCACGACCATAGTGCCTCGACCCGCTGGAATGAGCGAACAATGGTATCTCTCTAAGATCATTCAGAAATTAATGCCAGGTGCGAGTGTGGGTTCCTTTTGTGAAAAGTATGGAATTGACCATCATGTCCATCCTAAATTTTCAAAATTCATGTTCAACTTGGATGGCATCGTGATGGAACGTCACTTCTGTGGACTGCCGGAAACGAACGGAAATAGCAAGCTGATAATTTGGTCGGTTTGTCAGGTTATGTCTTGGCTACTTAAGACAAGACTGCGCGAACCCTATTTTAAGCTCATCGCGGAGAAAGACTACTGGAACGGTGGTATCAGCACTGAAACTATTGAACTGACTGCATTTCTATTCAGGCTCTGGGGTCCCGAACGCTTTAGGAATGTAGCTAAATTTGCTAGGACACTGCTTCCCGTAACTGCCAAGGAAATCTCAGATGCATGTTTCTTGGGCTGCTTCTTACGTGGTGTTTTGGGCTCGTGTCCAAAGCACTATCGCGTGCTCTGTAGCACGGCTGGCTTTTCCTTCACCGAAAAAAGGACACAGAAGCGATTCGAAGAGGAAGGCCCCGAGTTCTTCGGACACCTGCCACCCAATTGGGAAACCATTACGACCAAGGACCTCAAGGCTCTGGATATGGAGTCACATCCCGATGTGCTCTCGCAGCACGTAACCGATTTCGAAACAGCTTCATACGCCCCTCATCTCGATTACCGCGTCGAGCTACCTCCGGTAGCTGCCGATCTGGCAACTGTCGGTCCCGTAGTGTGCACGCCAGCAGCTCCGGTGACACCTTTTGTGGCACTTCCGGGGACGCGCGCGATGGTCGGTCATTCCATTGTAACATTGTCAGAAATTTCGCACGAAGCAGCGTCTCGCTCAGCCATGCATTATGCAGCGGCCCTTCGCGAGTGGGGCTCACAAGAGGTGGAGAAGGCGCTCTGTGCCTCATACGCCGATCTGGGTCTGCGGAAACGACACGGCGTCGAGGACACTGAGTGTCCTGAAGAGAAGAGGGGCAAATCTTCGTAACGACTTCGTGGCGCTCGGTCTCGGCCGGTGATTTAACCGCCGCCATGTGCCGTGTAAGCCGTAGTGTTCTGGCCCGTTGCATTCTCGCCCCGTTACTCTTTTTTCAGTACATTTTTAGCTGTACTCTTCTGGTCCGAAGCTTCGGGCAACACTGAGGATTGTTCATACGACGCAGACAGCACCACGTCAGCAACAGACCAGTACGACACAACACGGCCAACATCTCCAGCCCCGTTCGCTGTCCGCTTTAATGCCGCGAGACCAGTACCTCGCGTTGGGAACGCACCGCTGATTGCTGGTGCTGTTGCTTGCCTGAGTTGGTCCCAGTCCGAACGTCTTTTTGGGACATAAAAGACATCGAGGACAACGCGCTCGTGTTTGCAGCGCATCATAGGGAGATGGACGTTTTTACGGGGTTGAAGCCAGGAATCCAGAATGTTACCAACCCAAAGAGGTCTCCCTCCTTCCCACGAGGCCTCTCCCAGCCGAACAAATTTGTGTCTGAGTTCTTTCCCAACGACAAGAATAATTGCGGAAGATAATAACCGTCACCAGGAAAAAAAGGTCACAGGAGGTTCTCTCATTATGAAAGCGAATACGAGCAGTGAAGCCGGACGGGCGGCCGTTCAGGTCATTCTGTTGAGTATTCTGGACAGCGGAGCAGGAAGCAGATTGGAGCCGGCTGGGTCGTGCCAATTGGCGCCCTCGGGTCGTCTGGAAATTGCGGAAAATTCTGTGGATTATCGTGTGCGGGAAGCTGAAGACTTTGTTGCTGATGTTATAAAAACGTTTGCGAAGAAGGAGCAGTTGTACAGAGTGCGACGACCGGACAGGTGTCTTAAGGCCTTGAGCAACCGGGTGTTGAGTGCGGCCAGGCTTTCAGGTCGTGAGCCTACGATGGAGACTGCTCAATTAAGGGGGAGTTGTCGGTGGCGCTGGGCCCGATTGGCAGAGGTGTTTTATAACGGACTAGATCGTAATCGAATGCTGCAGCTGCTTGAGCGTTGCAAAGCACTGCTCGGTCGACCGGTTGGAATGACGAACGAATGGTATCTCGCGAAGGTTTTGCAGACTTTTGGAGATAGTCGTGTAATTTTTAAGTGGCTGGAAAAGACTGCACACGCGTGTGCGGACGAGGACATAAAGAGCCAAGCATTATTGTTTGACAATAATGTGGCACGGAACTTCGTCGGTCTTCCGGCCACCACTGAACATGGCAGACAGGTGATCTCTACAATTTCTCAAGCGGTTAACTGGCTGCTGAAAACTCGCATTGGCGACGGCAATTTCCGAAAGATCTTGAGAAGCCAAGACTACTACTGGTCTCGTGTCGACGACTTCAGCATCTCACTCGCTGTACATCTGCGCAACTTCTGGGGACCGGAACGCTTCAACAGGATCACCCATCTTGCAACCTCGCTTATACCCATCCGCGGGTCCATCACCACTTCAGACACGTGCTTCTTCGCCTGTTTCCTTAACGCCGTGCAACTTAGCTGTCCTTATGTCTTCCGCTGCTTTTGCTCCCGGTCCGGATTACCATACGTCTACCGCACCGGCACGGTCTACCATAGAGCCGAATCCGAAGGCAACGACTTTTTCGGTCAACTTCCCAACCCACAAGCTCAGACTGCTGAGGCTCAGATTGCTGTGGCTCACATTGCTGAGGCTCAGACTGCTGAGGCTCAGACTGCTGAGGCTTAGACTGCCGGGACCGGATAACAGCTTCAAGGAGACCTACCGCCCAGCATCATGACTCAGGTCATGACCCAGATACACACGCACGACCACCGTCCGCCCGCTATCTTGTTTTGACTTCGTTACGTGTCCTCGCAAAGGCGTGATGAGAAAAGTTAAATGAAGCTAACAACACCATTCCGGCCATCTGCCTCACATAAAATTCCATAACAGCGATATGTGCATTCCTCACTTGCTGGTACACCCACTGAACGGGGTATGGAATGGGTATGTGTTAATACACCCACTGGAGGGGGGGG